CCACAGAGTCTGTAGTGATTTCATCTTTTCATTCCTTATTGTATGAATTTGAGTTTTTTCTTCCCTTTTTAAAATAAGGTTGGCTAGGGCCTTATCAATTTTATTTATTCTTTCAAAGAACCAACTCTATGGTTCATTGATTTTTTTTGGATTATTTTCTTAGTCTCTATTGCATTAATTTCTGCTCTGATTTTTATAATTTCCTCCCTTCTTTTGACTTTGGGCTTGACTTGCTTTTCTTTTCTTAGATGTTTGGGGTGTAACATCAACTTGCTTATTTGTATTTGTTCTCTTTTCCTGATGTGGGAACTCAGTGCAATATATTTTCCTTTGAGGACCAATTTCTTTGCATCCCACAGATTCTGGTAAGTTGTATTTGTGTTTTTGTTTGCTTGTAGGTATTGATTTTTTTTTTAATTTTTTTTTTTTTTTTTTTTGTCTTTTTGAGACAGGGTCTCTATGCAGTTCAGGCTGGCCTTGAACTCACTTTGTAGCCGAGGCTGGTCTCGAACTCGCGACGATCTTCCTGCCGCCACCTCCTGAGTGCTGGGATTACAAGCGTGAGCCACGAGGCCTGGCTGTAGGTATTCTTTTTTTTTTTTTGCTTTTTCGTTTTTATCGGTACCGGGGATCGAACTCACGACTGCCTGCTTGCAAGGCAGGCGCTTATGCCGCTGAGCTAGATCCTCAGCCCCCTACCGGCTGTAGGTATTCTTTAGTTTGTTCTTTTATTAAAAAATTATATAAAGATAAAAAAATTAAAACAGAAAAAAGGGTAGAAATGATTCAGAATTTCAAAACAATAAACCATAAGAAATCACAAGTTGATAGATTAGATATTATCATCTTACAAATAGTTGTTCAAGTTACAAAATTAAAGCATACAAAGTGGACATTCAAATAGTGAAACTGTAAACAGTTCTGTTCAATGGTCCAACAAAAACTTAGTAATATGGTTATCTATCTTACACACTTAAATGTACATGCTGTTATATACCTTTAGAACACTCTCTTTTCCTCTCTTTTTTTGATAATAATTACACATCTTTTGGTTTATTAGTCATTCAGTTCTTATTACTTTTTTTGAAGAGAATACAACCAAATGTGACAAAACAAAATAGAGTAAGTCAAAACAAAAGGATGGAATAGCACATGACGTAAAACCAAAATACAATGTGATCAATGGTTACCATAATGCCTCTTGCTATCTTCAAAAGAATTGCGCATAGGTGTCATAAAATTGAACAAAACAGTATAGAACAAAACCAATAAAAATGAAACACTGGAGACATTACAGGGCTTCAAAAGAAGTTAATAGTTAAAGCAGAATGGGTATCATAGTGAATCTTATTGTCTTCAAAGTAGTTGCCTATATCCTCAGACTTGATACTAGCAAATAAAACAAATGAGTAAAATCAGTCAAAACAAGAGAGTGAAAGTAATACAGGGCTTCAAAATCAAGTTAATAGGAAATAAAAATGGTTACAATAATATACCATGATATATTTGGCATAGCTGTCCATACCGTCAAACCAGTACAAGAAGACAAACTGGAACAGAATAAAACCAAACTGAACTGAACGAAGAAAACAAAATGAGTTTCAAATCATGATAAAAGAGAAACAATGGCCACTGCCTTCCCTTTTTAGACAATTCCTCCCCTTTCACCTTTTTAAAAATTTAATTTAATTTAATTTAACTTTTAATTATTTTACTTAAAGAAAGACTACACAAAACAGAAAATGGGTAGAAATAATACATACTTTCAAAGAAAAAGTAAACTAATAAATAACTAGTTGATGTTTACATATTGTCCTCTTACAAATAATAGCTCAAGATACAAAAGTGCAACATATAAGTGGGAATTCAAACAGCAAGACTAAAATGTGTTCAACTATCCAATAAAAACTTAGCAACATGGTTATCCATCCTATACATTTAAACATACATGCAGTTATCTATATCTTCATTTATGTTGAGAATAAAGAAACCAAAGCCAGCTAAAATCACTCTGAACCAAGAATACTAGTATTGCTGGATTTGACATCATGACACTCGGGTCAGCACTGGGTACTGTGGTGTCTCTTTTTCTTCAAAGTATCTGTTTATTTCATCATGTGTCATAAGATCAGTTGTCATAACTGTTTATAGGTTCTATACATGCATGAGTCTTAACATGTATTTCTATCCTTTCTATATTAGAGGGAGTAATAAAACAAAGCAAGACAAAAGAAAACATATTCTTATAAACACATGAAATGAAAAAAACATATAAGACCATTGTACAAAGAGTCCTACCATGGCTCCTGGGTTGTCTGTTGTAATCTCCAATAGAATTGGCTATATCATCAAACATAGTATTTGAATATGTCAGTACATAACATATGAATAAAAACACAACTCTGTATATAGAACTTCAAAAACTGGCAGTTATCAAGCCAGAATGTGTATCGTAGAGTCTTGTCATCTTCAGTGTAGTTGCCTGTACTCTCAGACTTGATACTATCAATCATATCAGTTTTGAATAATATCTTCTCTGCCTCATTTCTGTTATGCTTTTCTTTGCCATCTTCTTTTGCTTATCTTCTTCATTCTATTTTTTGCTCCATTCAATGAGGCTTCTCTGCCACTCTTCATGGAATCCTAGTACTTTTCTCTCTCTAGAATGCCCTGCAGTATTCTCTGAGAGTTGGATTGGTGGTTGCGAATTTCCCAAGTTCCTTTTTGTCTTGGAAGCATCTTGTTTCTCCATTAATTTCTAAAGACAGTTTAGCAGGGTATATCAATCTGGATGGAGGTTATTTTCTTTCAGGGCTTGGAATATTTTGCTCCAGGCTCTTCTTGACTTGATGGTTTGCGTTGAGAAGTCTGCTGTTATTCTGATGGGCCTTCCTTTTTAGGTGATCTGTTTCTTGTCTCTAACAGCTTTTAATATTCTGTTCTTATATTGACTTTCTGGGATCTTGTTTATTATATGCCTGGGTGTAGCTCTGTTTGGGTTGTAGGTGACTGGAGTTCTGTATGCCTCATATATTAGAATATCATTTCCTTTTCCTATGTTTGGGATTTTTCCTTAATTATTTCTGTGAATAACATTTGTAGTTCCTTTGTTTGTACCCCTGCTTCTTCATCCACGTTCTTTATTCTCAAGCTATAGATCCTCTTGTCGTCTTCTAGCCTTTGTATTGTTGCTGCTTGTTGCCTTGTGACGTTTAAAAAGTTTTCCCTTTCATATTCCCACATTGCAAAACTGTCCTCCAGTTTGGATAATCTATCCTCAGTTTCTTTCAAGCCAATTTGCTGTCTTTCCATAGAGTTTTTAATTTTCTGGTGATCTTTTTGAATCTGCTTCATGTAATCTACTTATTTTTTATGTTCTTCATCAAATGGTTCTCTCCTTTGAGTTCCTCCCTTCTTTCATCAGTGTCTGCTTGAGGGGTGCTTAGTATCTCTTTTTTTAATCCTCTTATATCTGGCTTTACTTGGCTAAATATTTCACTTTTCAACTCGTCTATGAGGCCCCAAATATATGTCTTTTGTTTATCTTTTTTCATAGGTACCGGGCATCGAACTCACGACTGCCTACTTGCAAGGCAGGTGCTTATGCCACTGAGCTAAATCCCCAGCCCCCTCAGCCAGATATGTCTCTTTATGTCTCCTGGTGCCGTGTCTGATAGTGCGTGTTTGGTGTTCTCAATCTCCTTTGTATTTCCTGTCCTGGCTCAATGTTCTCAGGGTTGGGACCTGGGGACTTTTTGTTGTTGCTTCCTCTTCCCATCTGTTTTGCTCCTTCCAGGAGGCCCCAGTTTCTTTCTTTGTTGGTTACAATTCCTCTGAAACATGCTGGCTAGATGACCCTTCCCACTGCCGTGTGCTAGTGAGTTGCAGACAGATATACTGGCCCGTCTCTTCCAGGTCAGTCAAGCTGCTGAGGCCTGCACTGTTTTACTTTGTGCCACCTCCCCTCCGGATCAGTCAAACTTCTGAGGCTTCACTGAGTTACTGTGGTGAGTGTGCGCCACCACTGTAGGGACCTGATTTCGGATAACCTATTGGGTCTCAGCCTGGTCACATGACCCAGGCCTAGCTCACTCCACCAATCCCGTTCGGGAAGGGAACAACTGACTGAAGTCACTGATGCCCTTGTACTTGCCAGTCCTGCCCTGTCCCAGAATGTCTTCGGTCAGAGCCCCCCTTTTGTGGAATGATTCTACTCCTGTCATCACCTCGGGTTGATGCAGGCACCCTGCCGACTCAGCTCTCCATTCAGCTCGCCGACCCCCAAGCTCAATGTAACTGTGCCTCCAGTGAGTCCAAGCGGTGGGACTCGGGACGACTCGGCAAGCTGTGGCAGGACCATGGTAAGTCATGGTGGGACCTCTGATGGTCAGCAAGTAGCAAGCGGGAACACTGAACATTTAGCTGTTCCAGTAATAGCACTGGGACTGTATGTTTGGTTGATTCTTCTCACCTTAAATTCTTGGGATGAGAGAATTTATCTCCCTCTGTTTGGGGCTCCCCACTCTGTCTCATGTTGAATTCTAAGTTGACTATCTGAGGGAGCCTCTATCCAGTTGGCCTCTATCTGCCATCTTTGCTCCAAGCCTGGGAGTTGGGGTGTTTTAGTGTAAAGTTGGAGAACGGGGCATGTAGGTGTTTTTAGGGTGATTCTGTGGAACAGGGGATGTCTGTGTTTTTAGGGTGAGCCAGGAGAACAGGGCACACATGCGATTTTAGGTTGAGCATGAAGTACATGGCTTGTGTGTGTTTTAGTGTAAAGTTGGAGAAGGGGGCCTATGTGTGTTTGGAGGGGAGCCTCGACCATTCCAGTGTCTCTAAATTGAGGACCATTGCTTGGAGCACTGAAACATGACCCTGACTCCTAACACCCTAACACTTTGCCCTCACACTAAGCCTAACTTAGCCCTAACCTGAACCCTAACCCTAACCCTAACCCTAACGCTAACACTAACCCTCTAACCCTAACCCTATCCCTCTAACCCTAAGTCCCTAACCCTAAGCCCCTAACACTAACACCCTAACCCCAACCCTAACCCTAAGGCTTGGGTGAGGATCAGGGCTGGTGTGTATGTGTGTGTGTGTGTGTGTGTGTGTGTGTGTGTGTGTGTGTGTGTTTGTGTTGGTAGGGTCTGAAAAATAATGGGGAGGGAGGCAGTGAAAGAGACACGGGTGGGGCCACACAAACAGCTGAGAGCCAGCCCCCAAAAAGGCCAGGGACAGGAAAAAAGGCAGAGAGAGACTGAAAAGCAGCCCAGGGAATGGAGAAAAGCCGAGAGAGTGAAAAAAAGTCCCCAGGGGGCTCTGGAAACGAAAGCAGATAGAACCAAAGACCGGTAGAGGTCCCCAGGAGAGCGGAGATGGGGAGAGGGAGAGAGAGAGCAAGCAAAAGGAGGCAAAGGGAATGGACAAAAAGCAGAGAGAGAGCAGAAACAGGCAAGGCATCCCAGAAACAAAAGCAGAGAGAGAACCAAAAATAGCCAAGGGCCAGAGGAAAGCTGAGACAGAGACAGAGGCACAGAGAGACAGAGACAGCCAGAGAGAGCCACAGAGAGAGAGAGAGGCAGAAAGAGTCCAAGGGCCCCAGGAAAGCACAGAGCGGGGCAGGAGGGTGGTAAAGGGCAAGACAGGGGGATGGAAACGGGGAGGGTCAGAGAGAGGCAAAGGGACTGAAGGGTGCTTGTGTAGCACAGATGTGGGAATCTGAGCAGCCAGATACAGACAGAGGCGCACATCTGGAATCAACCGAGCAGAGCTGAGCTGAGCTGAGCTGCGTGTGTTAGGCTCACGGTGAGGACCAAGGCCTAGGTGCTTCTGTGTGTGGTGTTGGGATCTGAGAAATCGTGGGCAGGGAGAGAGCGAAAAGAGACATGGGGCCAACAAAACCGCTGAGAGACAGCCTCAAGCACGGGCCAGCTGCATGACAAAAGCAGAGAGAGCCAGTGAAAAGAGGCCAAGGGAATGGAGGGAAGCCCAGAGTGCAAATGCCCCCAAAGGCCCTGGAAACAAGCCTCTGGAGAGAACCAAACTAGGAAAGGAGAGGGAGAGGGGGAGAGAGGGAGAGAGAGAGAAAAGAAAGAGAGAAAAGAGGCAAACAGGACTCAGGTGGGTTTGTGAAGGGTCTAGGGAGTCAGTCCAAGCCTGGCCCAATGGAGAGATACAGTTGGAGTTTAGCGGGCCGAGCTTGCTGAACTGTGTGTGCCAGGGTTATAGGTGATCGTCAGGGCATCTGTGTGTGTGGTTAGACTTAGGGTGTGGATGGAGGCGGGGAGCACGTGTGTGTGGTAAACTTGCACTGATTGGTGCCCAAATGCGTGTCCGGGAGGCTGGGAAACTAACTAACCTCAACATTCTCTCTGGCTTTTTTCCCCCCACAGGGCTCTTGGTCTGAGAACCACCAAACCAGAGAGATATCCCGCTGGAAATGAGATTCAGCTACAGTCTGACAGGGATTTACACTTAGCCTCTGACAGACTGACACACTCATCTCCTCCCGCCTCCTTGGTGAATCAACAGGGTTTTTCTCTCCTGTGTGTGGGGGCGTGGAGGGCATGGCTCACCCTGCTCACTGCCTCCTTCTGCTTTACTCCTGGACTTGTACAGTGAGTGAGCACTTTCTCCTTGTTTCCCGATGCTAACTTTGGAACAGAGAAACACAATAGATTTTTCCAGGAGGAAATATTCAACCAGAGTCTCCAGTTTGAACAGACAGAGCAACTTCCTCCTTGGGTGGGGGCCATCTAATCCTGCATCCAAGCAGACATTCCTTTGGGGTGTGTGGGGGAGGGAGTGGGGGTGGGGGTTGACAGAGGAGGCCTCAGGCTTCTCTGAGCCACTGGCTGGCTGACCTCAGCAGTCCCTAACCCTCACCCTGTGCCAGACCTAAGCCTAACCAACCCCTGGGGTCCACTCCCCTGCCCTCATCCAGCACTCCCCTGCCTGGCTCCAAAGGTCCCATCCCACTTCCCATCCCACTGGAAATGCATTAGCTAGCATCTGACATTGACTGGTCATGGGCTCATCGGGAGTAGGGGTCTGTAGCCCCTCACCGAGGGAGGGAGGGTGATGGCAAATGGGGCACACGAGGCTGTGCTCCAGAGAGAGGGTTGGTCCCTCTGGGCAGTACGGGAACTGCTCCCTCCTGAACCTCAGGAGAGTATCTGATATCAGGCTGCTTGGTGACCCCAACCTTGGCCCTGGAGGGTAGCTAGTGGCACAATGCAGACTCTTGTTTGAGCCTGAAGGTAAGGGTAGGGGGGAAACAAAACCCCAACACTGGAGGCCCCGTGGAGGGAGGGAAGATTGACAGCAGGGAATCATTCGAGTGGCTGTGCCTCCTCTTCAGAAGGACTGAGCCCATTCCCAGGACACACTGGATGCCGACCCAGCCCTACACACACACAAAACCCTGATTTCCCCTACAGCCCAGAGAGAGACATCAGAAGGCACTTTTCACCACCTCTCTCATGTCCCTCATCAAGGGTGCTCTGGCACCCTTGGCAGCAGGTATCAGGGTGGCTCCCTCCTGGGCAGCCAGCCAGCCAGCCAGCCAGACAAACGGGGACAGGGCTGCAGGTTCCTCAAAGACAGGCCCCAGAAAAACTGGCCCATCTGTGTGTTGACACAGTTCTTTTTCCTTCACTTGCCACAGACAGGTAGATGAGTCTGTGTGACCCTCTGTCCATCAGTGTGCCACCGTCTGGTGCTCCCCGATGGGCTCCTTCCTGGGTCATGGCCTTCCTTAGGGATCCCCTGACCCCTTGACCTGTCCATGGTAGAGGGCCCCGCTGGGGCAAGACATCCTCCCCCCCCCCCTCTCACTCACACACACACACACACACACACACACACACACACACACACACACACGTGCACGCTAGAAACAGGCAGGCAGGATACGTATCTATAGCCACCCGAGGGTACTGGCACCTCAGAGGGTCCTGGGATCCAGCAGCAGCCACCAGAGGTTGGAACCAAGCCTAGTGGCCTGCAGACTCCAACCAAAGCCTCGGTCCCACGTGGGAAGCCCTCCCTGTACAAAATATACACTCCTTGATCTGAGCCAACAGATGCTTGTGTTCTGCACCGACTGCCACACGAGGTGATCGTCTGCAAAAAGGAGAGAGAAATAGTCCTCACTACCATGCCATCAGCTTCCCTGCCTGCCACGCTTCTGCTCGGATGAGACAGCGTCCCCTGGTGGCTAAAGGGGACACACACATCATCCTCAGAGGTACTTCCAGGATCCAGGTTCTCTGACACCCCAAGGAGCCCCTCCCCTCTCTGCCTGCCCAATCCCAGGGCACACGACGATACCTAGGGGAGGTGTCCTCTGCAGTGGAGGGACAGCTGTGCTGTGCTGTGCTGTGCTGTAGAGGCGGGAATGTCGAGCCAGGGCTGCCGGGCACTCAAGGCTCACTCCTGTTTGCAGGGCAGTGGTTAGCACCTCATGGAACTCGTTGTTGCATATGGCAGCTGGAGACATCACGAGCCTTGGGCACCGCAGGAAACGTGGTGTTGTGATCCTTGGGGTAGATGGCGTTCTGGGCAGCTAGCTCCAGCCTCTTACAGCTGAAAAGAGAGACAGGGAAGAAACACTGGCCTCAGATGCAAGGCCACGGGTAATCCTGGGAAGATGCCGGTCGGTCCCCAGAGAAGGTGGTGTGCAGAGCACCTCCCTTGGCTTCCACAACCTAAAAACCCTAATGCTGAGCCTAACCTTCCCAAACGGGCGACCTCCTTCCTTCTGCGCCCCGCTACAACACGGGACAGGTCTATCCCAGAACGAATGTGTCGCGTGCCACGCGCGTGTGTGATGTCTCTCTCTGCCTCCCTCAGTGGACTTCTGAATCTTCCACTGTGGCTAGGTTCTCGAGCTGCGCCCTCTGGTGGCCAACGGTTGGAATAGGCGGTGGCCTCAGAGCGCTGACATGGAAACTGCCAGCTTCCAAAGCCAATGCCTTTCGACCTAAGGGGCTAACCAGGACTGGCCGGAGGCTGTTCATCGCACATTCTCCACCCAACCCCTCACCCCAGGAGGCGAGTGGCGTTCGGGTGGCCTGGATGTTGGGTGTGGGGGTAGGCTTCCCTAAGCCACTGGCTCACTAATCATCACCCTCTGCTAACCCTAACCTCCTGCCCCCGGCCACTCCTCTGCTCTATGCATCATATCTATGGCAAACTCCTCACGGTAACACCCTGTAGTCTTGAGGTTTACAAGTGTAAGGGTGTTGAAGTTGACTGTCATGTATGGTTTCTATGGGGAATGAGTTACCCCTTGTTCTATGAGCTCATTCACATACATTTCTATTGCAGACTCGTTCAGTGCCGACAGAATCACAAGAACTGGAATGTATTTCATCCACATTGGGTTTCCTAGTGTTAAAGTTTACAGATATAAAAATGTTCAAATTGACTATCATGTATGATTTCTATGCGGAATGAGTTACCCCACGTTCTAGGAACTAGTTCACATAAATTACTTTTGGTTATTTCAGGGCACAAAAGAATCAATTTCATCCAAATCGTGTTTTCTGGTCTTAAGTTTTAGAGATGTAAGAGCGCTGAAGTTGACTATTATGAATGGTGTGTACTGGGAGAGAGTCACACCCACGTTCCAGGACCTCGTTCACATACATTTGTAGTGCAGGCTCTTTCAGTGCCGACAGAATCACAAGAACTGGAAGGTAATTTCACCCACATTGGGTTTTCTAGTCTTAAGGTTTACAGCTGCAAGAATGTTGAAACTGACAATCACGTGTGGTTTCTATGTGGAAGGCTGTGCCCTGCGTTTCAGGAACTACGTCACATACAGTTTGATCGCAGGCTCCTTCAGCGCGCACAGAATCACGAGAGCTGGAGTGTATTTTCGTCCAAATCGGGTTTTCTAGTTTTAAGGTTTATAAGTGTAAGAGTGTTGAAATTGACTTTCATGTATGATTTCAATGGTTTATGAGTTACATCCTCGTTCTAGGAGCTAGTTCACATAAAATAATTTGCAGGCTCTTTTAACGCACACAGAATCACAAGGATGGGAATGGAATTTCATTTACATCAGTCTTAGGGTTTACAGGTGTAAAAGTGTTCAGATTGAGTGTCACGTATGATTTCTACACGGAATGAGTTACACCCACTTCTAGGACCCAGTTCACATACAATTCTATTGCAGGCTCTTTCAGTGCACGTAGAATCACAAGAAATGGAATGTATTTACATCCAAAATGGGATTCCTCGTCTTAAGGTTTACATGTATAAGAGTGTCGAAATTGACTGACATGTATAATTTCTATGTGGAATGAGTTCCTGCATGTTCTAGGAGAAAGTTCCCGCACATTTCCGTTGCAGGCTCTTTCAGTGTAGACAGAATCACAAGAAATGGAAGGTGTTTTCATCCAAATAATGTTTTCTAGTCTTAACTTTTACAGGTGTAAGACTGTTGAAATTGTGTGTCATGTATGATTTCTATGGGCAATGAGTTACCACCACGTTCTAGCAGCTAGTTCACATTCATTTCTACTGCAGGCTGTTTCAGCACACACAGAAACACAATATCGGGAATGTATTTTCACCTAAATCGGGTTTGCTAGTCTTAAGACGTACAGGTGTGAGAGTGTTGAAATTGACTATGATGTATGATTTCTATACGGACTCCCGCGTTCTAGGATGTAGTTCGCATAAATTTCTATTGCTGGCTCTTTCCATGCACACAGAATCACAACCGGAATGCATTTTCATCCAAATCGGGCTTCCTAGTCTTAAGGCTTACAGCTGTAAGGGTGTTGAAATTGACTGTCTCGTATGGTGTCTATGTGGAATCAGTTATCTCAACATTCTAGGAGCTGGTTCACATAGATTTACATTGCAGGATCTTTCAGCGCAGACACAGTCACAAGAACTATATTGTATTTTCATCCAAATCGTGTTTTCTAGTCTTAAGGTTTACAGCGATGAGTGTTGAAATCGACTATCAGGTACGATTTCTAAAGGGAATGTTTTACATATGTGTTCTAGTAGCTAGTTCACATACAATTGTATTTTTTTTTGTCTTTTTCTTTTTTTATCGGTACCAGGGATCGAACTCATGACCACACACTTGCAAGGCAGGCGCTTATGCCGCTGAGCTAAATCCCCAGCCCCTTACATACAATTGTATTGTATTGTATACAATTGTATTGCAGACTCTTTCAATGCACACAGAGTCACAAGAACTGGAGTATATCCGTTCAAATAGCGTTTTCTAATCCTATGGTTTACAGATGTTAGAGTGCTGAAATTTACTGTCATGTATGATTTCTCCATGGAATGTGTTACCCCCACATTCTAGAAGCTATTTCTCATACATTTATATTGCTGGTTCTTTTCGCACAGACAGAATCATCAGAACTGGAATGCATATTCATCCATATCAGGTTTTCTAGTGTTAAGGGTTTACAGATGTAAGAGTGTTGAAATTGAGTATCATGTATGATTTCTATGCGCAGGGAGGTACCCCCCAAGTTCTAACAGCTAGTTCACAAAAATTTCTACTGTAGGCTTTTTCAGCGCAGAAAAAAATCCCAAGAAAAGGAATGTATTTTCATCCAAATCGGGTTGACTAGTCCTAAGGTTTATAGGCGTAAAAGTGTTGATATTGACTAGCCTGTATGATTTGTAAATGCAATGTGTTACATCCACGTTCTAGGAGCCAGTTCACAAACATTTTTATTGAAGCTTCTGTCAGCGTACACAGAATGACAAGAACTGTAATGTGTTTTCATCAAATACAAGTTTACTAGTCTAAAGACTTACAGTTGTATTAGTGTTGAAATTGACTATCATGTATGATTTCTATGTGGAATGAGTTAACCCCAGGTTTAATGAGCTAGTTCACATACATTTCTATTGCAGGCTCTTTCAGCGTGCCCAGAATCACAAGGACTGTAATGTAGTTTCATTCAAATCCTGTTTTCTTGTCTTCAGGGTTACAGCTGTAACAGTATTGAAACTGATTATCATTTATTATTTCTATAGGGAATTTGTTACATCCACTTTCCAGGAGCTTGTTCACATACATTTCTATCATAAGCAGTTTCAGCACAGTCAGAAACACAAACACTGTAAAGTAATTTCATACAGATGTGGTTGTCTCGTCTTAAGGGTGACAGTTGTAAGCGTGTTGACTGTCATGTATGATTTCTATGGGGAAAGAGTTACCTGCATGTTCTATGCATTAATTCACATCCATTTCTATTACAGGCTCTTTCAGCACAAACAAAATATGAAGAACTGTAACATAATTTCATCCAAGTGCGGTTTTCTAGTCTGAAGGTTGATAGGTGTGAGAGGGGAGAAATTGACTATGATGTGTGATTTCTATGAGGAGTGAGTTACCTGCATGTTCTATGCACTAGTTCACATGCGTTTCTTTTGCCGGCTCTTTCAGCATAGACGGAATCACAAGAACTGTCATGTAGTTTCATCTAAATGGGGTTTTCTAGTCTTACAGGAGGGGAGTCAAACCCAGGGGAGGGGTCAGCACCAGAGGGGGGCAGCACCAGTGAGAAGCAGGAGGGGGTCAGCACCAGGAAGGTGAGAAGCAGGAGGAGCAGGAGGGGCGTCAGCACCAGAGGGTGGTCAGCAGCGGGGGTGGGGGGTGGGGGAAGAACCGTGAAGGTGAGAAGCAGAGGGTGATGAGCACCAGGGGAGGGGGGCAGTACCGGGGTGCAGCACCAGGAGGATTAGCACAGAGTAGGGGCAGCACCTGGGGTGGGGTCAGCAATAGGGGGGTCAGCACCGGGGGAGGCAGCACAGGGCGGTGGTCAGCACTGGGGGTTCAGCACAAGGTTGGGGTGAGTACAGTGGGGGGGGGTTTCAGCACCAGGAAGGCGAGAGATAGAAGGGGGGGTCAGCAACAGGAAGAGAAGCGGGAGGTGAGTCAGCACCAGGGGTGGGTCAGCACCAGGAATGTGAGAAGCAGGAGGTGGTTCAGCACCAGGGATGGTCAGCACTTTGAGGTGACAGCACCAGGGTGGGGCAGCACAAGTGGGGGACCGCACCAGGGGGGGCAGCACTAGGGAGGGGGGTAAGCACCAGGAAGTTGAGAAGCAGGAGAGGGGTCAGCACCAGGTGGGGGGCAGCATCGGGGTGGGGGCAGCACCAGGGTGAGTCAGGACCAGGAAGGTGTGAAGCAGAAGAGGGGTCAGCACCAGGGAGGGGCAGCACTAGGGGGCACAGCAGCAGGGGTTGGGTCAGCACCAGGGAGGGGCAGCACTGGGGGGGGGCAGCACCAGGCGGGGGGGGGGGGACACCAGAAAAGTTAGGAGCAAGAAGGGGGTCAGCACCAGGGGGGCGAAGCACGGGGTGGGGGGCAACACCAGGGGGGTAGTAAGTACCGGGTGGGTGCAGCACCAGGGGGAGCAGCAGGGGGGGGGGGTAGTTAGCACCAGGGGGTGGTTTAGCACCAGGAAGGTGAGAAGCAGGAGGGCCAGCACCAGGGGAGGGCAGCGGGGGGGGGGGGTTAGAACCACAGGGCCTCAGGACAGGGCAGGGGTCAGCACCAGAAAGGTGAGAGGCAGGAACGCGGTCAGAACCAGGTGTGGGCAGCACCAGTGTTGGGAAGAACCAGTAGGGGTGTCAGCACCAGGGGGGCGTTTAGCACCAGGGCGGTCTGCACGGGGGGGGGGCACTAATACACGGAGGTCAGCACCAGACTGGGGGCAGCACCAGGGTGGGGGCAGCGCCAGGGTGGGGCAGCATCTAGGAGGGCTCAGCACGGGGGGGGGGGGGGGGTGTCAGTGAAAGAGTTGCCAGCCCAGATAAAACACTGTAACCAGAAAAGGCTGCACCTAAACTCCTCCCCCACCCTGCCCCCTATGGACTTGATTGTAATTCTGTA